GCGCCATACTTTGGACCCGCAGGTCCCCACCGCCAGGAGTGCTGCTGCTGGCCCTTCTGCTGGAGAACCCTAGTACACGCCATGTGAGGAGCTAGAAATGGAGGGGGGTGCGTACAGGTGGGCCTAAGCTGCTGCTGGTGCTGTTGGGGGGCAGTCTAAGCTGCTGCTGGTTCTGCTGGGGGGGGGCAGCCTAAGCTGCTAATGGTTTTGCTAGTGGTAGCCTAAGCTGCTGCTGGTTTTACTGGGGGTAGCCTCAGCTGCAACTGGTACTGCTGGTGGCAGCCTAAGCGTCGGCTGGTTCTGCTGGTGGCAGCCTAAACTGCTGCTGGTTTAACTGGGGGCAGCTTAAGCTGCTACTGGTTCTGCTGGTGGCAGCCTAAGCTGCTGCTGGTTCTGCTGGTGGCAGCCTACGCTGCTGCTGGTTCTGCTGGTGGCAGCCCAAGCTGCTGCTGGTTTTACTGGGGGCAGCCTAAGCTGCAACTGGTACTGCTCGTGGCAGGCTAGGCTGCTGCTGGTCCTGCCGGTGGCAGCCTAAGCTGCTGCTGGTTGAAGTGGGGGGAGCCTAAGCTGCTACTAGTTCTGTTATGTGCGGTTCTGTGCGGTTCGTACGGTTCAGTGCGGTTCTGTGCGGTTCTGCGCGGTTCAGTGCGATTTTGCGCTGTGCTGTGCGGTTCTGTGCGGTTCTGTGCGGTTCTGCACGTGGAGAGTACCGGGTGGGGCGGCTGATTTCGGGTGAGGCGACTGGAACGGGTGGGGCAGCAGGTACGGTTCTGTGCGGTTCTGTCCGTTGCCGTGCGGTTCTGCTAGTCGGAGTATTGGGTGGGGCGGCTGATTCCGGGTGGGGCTACACGGGCAACGTGGGGCGGCGCGCGGACTGCACGAGCTGCTGCGCGTGCGTTCGAGCGTGCGGCTGCGCGTGCTGCTGTGCGGCTACGGTGGGGCTCCGGGAACAGGTGGGGCAGCGGGTGACTAGTGGAAAACGGGCGACGGGTGGGGCAGCGGGTGTCAAACATTTATGCTATAGTCTTTCTAGGCTGTAGTGGGGTAGACAGTATGGGGTACAGTTTCCTAGGGTTACATATTTGTACCCAACTCATTTCCTAGTCAATCATTCCTCATTCTTCACATGGTATAGAGCGGGTTCCCTAGTGGGACCGTTTCTTCCAAGGGCCCACCTTCGAAAGTTTTTTTTTAGCCTGCCCTAAACGCGCTTCGCGTCCTGCCCGAAAATTTCGCGGCCCCTTAGTGGCCTGCCCCTTCACGGCCCCTTAGTGGCCCCTTCGCGGCCCCCTTAGTGGCCCCCTTCGCGGCCCCTTAGCGGCCCCTTCGCTGCCCCTTAGCGGCCCCTTCACGGCCCCTTAGCGGCCCCTTCGCTGCCCCTTAGCGGCCCCCTTCGTAGCCCCTTAGCGGCCCCCTTCGCGGCCCCTTCACTGCCCCTTAGCGCCCCCCCCCCCCCCCTTCGCGGCCCCTTAGTGGCCCCTTCGCGGCCCATTCACGGCCCCTTCGCGGCCCCTTCGCGACCCCTTCGCGGCCCCGCCCCGTCGCCACTTCGCGGCCCCTTAGCGGCCCCTTCGCGGCCCCTTCGCGGCCCCTTCGCGGCCCCTTTGCGGCCCCGCCCCATCGCCAGTCGCGGCCCCGCCCCGTCGCCAGTCGCGGCCCCGCCCCGTCGCCAGTCGCGGCCCCGCCCCGTCGCCAGTCGCGGCCCCGCCCCGTCGTCAGTCGCGGCCCCGCCCCGTCGCCCCTGCCTCGTCGCGACGCCTCAGCGGGACCCGCGCGTCGCCCTTGCCTCGTCGCGACGCCCCTGCGGGACCCGCGAGGCGCGGCTCCTGCGCGTCGCGACGCCCCTGCGGGACCCGCGTGGCATCGCCCCTGCCCGCCGCGGCGCCCTGCCCTAACCCGCGCACTGCAGCAGCCGCCCCTGGAGCAGCCGCCACTGCAGCAGCCGCCCCTGGAGCAGCCGCCCCTGCAGCAGCCGCCCCTGGAGCAGCCGCCCCTGCAGCAGCCGCCCCTGGAGCAGCCGCCCCTGGAGCAGCCGCCCCTGCAGAAGCCGCCCCTGGAGCAGCCGCCACTGCAGCAGTCGCCCCTGGAGCAGCCGCCCCTGCAGCAGCCGCCCCTGGAGCAGCCGCCCCTGCAGCAACCGCCACTGGAGTAGCCGCCACTGCAGCAGCCGCCCCTGGAGCAGCCGCCCCTGCAGCAGCCGCCCCTGGAGCAACCGCAACTGCAGCAGCCGCCCCTGGAGCAGCCGCCCCTGCAGCAGCCGCCCCTGGAGCAGCCGCCCCTGCAGCTGCCGCGGAGCCCTCGCCCTGCAGTGGTAGCGGCCTCGCCGTTGCCGCCGTCGTACGCCTGCCCTTCTCGCCACTGGTGAGCACTGCCCTGCCCGTACTGCTGTTGCTGCTGCTCTTGCTGCTACTGCTCTTTCTACTGATACTGCTGCTCCTGGCGTAGCCAGATGCAGCTCCAGCGCCGTCCGCGTGAGTCCCTCGCCCCCCAACAGATTCGTGAGTGGTACGCTAGTTGGGGTTGTAGGGGTGCGACTACTGCTACTGCTTCTACTGCTGCTACTGCTGCTACTGCGGCTACCACTGCTCCTGCTGCTCCTCGTGCTGGCCAGATGCAGCTCCAGCGACGTCCGCGTGAGTCCTTCACGCCCCAGCAGCTTCGTGAGTGGTACGCTACTTGGGGTTGTCGAGGTGGCCGTAGTGGGAGTCGTCCTGGAGTGAGTAGTTTGGGAGCTGCTTGTAGTGGCCAGGTGTAGCTGCAGCGTCGTCCGCGCGCGGTCCTTTCGCCCCAGCAGCTTCGTGAGTGGTACGCTGAGTGTGGAGGGTCACGGAGTACTCTCACTGTCCGTACGTCATTCGCACTGGTGCTCGGACTGGTCAGCCTTGCGGGACGTTTGGTCACGCAGAGTCCCGCTGCTTCGCCAGTCTGAGCGACGCCTGGCGTACGGAGTTTGGCGACGCGGCTGAGCTCCCCGACTGGGTGGAGCTGCTTAGGCAGAAGGTAGATATCTATGCTCTTGACTATGATGCTATCCTCACTGCCATGTATGCTTTGCCTACTAGTGATGAGGGTGACTGTTACCTGTGTGTTCCGCCTGACCCGGGCATTGAGGCTGCTGCTCTAGGTGCTGGTGAGGCTGCTGCTCTAGGTGCTAGTGCGTCTCCTCCTCCAGGTGCTGGTGAGTCTGCTGCCCCAGGTGCTGGTGAGTCTGCTCTCTCAGGTACCACGTCGTCTCAGGCTTTACACACCTTCATCCTTGACTCGGGTGCTTCCCGCTCCTTCTTTCGAGACCGCACCACACTCACGCCGCTTAGTCGGCCGGTTGCAGTCTCCCTGGCAGACCCCTCTGGGGGTCCTGTCCTAGCCCACTTCTCCACTGTCTTACCGTGTCCGGCGGCCCCTTCTGGCTCCCTCTCAGGTCTTTACCTCCCCTCGTTCTCTACGAACTTGGTGAGTGGTGCTGATCTACAGGATGGGGGGGTTGACCAGTTCACTCCTGCGAGTCAGCGAGTGACCCACTGCACGTGTGCTCGGACGGGCCGACACTTGGCCACGTTTACCCGTCAGCCGGGGTCGAGCCTGTACACACTGACTACTGAGTCTCCTCCGGTTGCTGCGTCTGGTCAGGCAGCTGCATCGGGTCAGGTGTTTGCTGCAGCGTCCAGGTCTGGTCCTGAGTCTGCCCCCTGCTCGTGTCGTCTCCTGTCTCACCAGACTCTCCTCTGGCACCACCGCCTTGGTCACCCCTCCCTGCCTCGTCTCCAAGGCATGGCCTCCCGTGTCCTTGTCTCTGGTCTCCCCCGGACCCTCCCTCCTCTTCCTCTGGGGCCTGCCCCTACCTGCGTTCCCTGCGTCGAGGGGCGGCAGCGCGCCGCTCCTCACTCCTCCGAGTTTCCTCCGACAGAGGCTCCGCTACAGACACTTCACCTGGACGTGTGGGGCCCCGCCCGCGTCCGTGGACAGGGTCACGAGCGTTACTTCCTGCTGGTAGTTGACGACTACTCGCGTTACACCACAGTCTTCCCCTTGCGCAGCAAGGGTGAGGTCACTGAGGTGTTGATCGACTGGATCCGCGCAGCTCGTCTCCAGCTCAGAGAGAGTTTCGGCCCAGACTTTCCTGTTCTGCGTCTGCACTCCGACAGAGGCGGAGAGTTTTCCTCTGACCTTCTGCGAGCCTTCTGTCGTGCACGGGGCATCCGCTAGACGTTCACGCTTCCGGCCTCTCCACAGCAAAATGGGATTGCTGAGCGCCGCATTGGCATGGTCATCGACGACGCTCGTACGTCCATGATCCATGCGGCTGCTCCCCATTTTCTGTGGCCGTTCGCGGTCCAGTACGCGGCGCATCAGATCAACCTTCAGCCCCGCGTCTCCTTGCCGGAGACCTCCCCTACTCTGCGGTGGAGAGGGAAGGTTGGCGATGCGTCTGGGGATCTCGGGCCTTTGTCCGCGACTTGTCTGCGGACAAGCTGTCCCCCCGTGCTGTTCCCTGCGTCTTCCTTGGCTTCCCCCCTGACGCGCCTGGTTGGCAGTTTTACCACCCCACCTCGCGCCGTGTGCTGTCCTCCCAGGACGTCACGTTTGACGAGTCGGTCCCTTACTACCGTCTCTTCCCGTACCGCACTGCACCCCTTCCTCCGCCGCCACTCTTCCTCGCTCCAGGTCCCCCCCTGGTAGACCCCCTTCCCCCTCAGGGTCCTGCCCCCTCAGGTGTGTCTCAGGTAGACGCAGTCGAGCCTGTCGAGGTAGCTGTTGACTCTGGTACTGCTAGGGGTGCTGAGCCTGCGGGTGCGGGGGCTGGGGGTGCTGAGCCTACGCGTGCAGGGCCTGGGGGTGCTGAGCCTGGGGGTGCTGCGTCTGGGGGTGCTGAGCCTGGGGGTGCTGAGACTGGGGGTGTGGAGCCTGAGGGTGCTAGGCCTGGTCATGTGGAGTCTTGCGGTCCTGGGTCTGGAGGTCCTTCGGGTGCTTCGTCCCGGCGGGAGCTACCCTCTCCACAGGAGCTGCGCGAGTGGTTTGCTCGGCGCTGGAGCCATGCTGCTGGAGCTGGAGGTGCTGCTGGAGCTGGAGGTTCTACTGCTGCTGAGGGTGTTGGTGCCACGGGTCTCGGAGGTGCTCGTACTGGAGGTACTCGAGCTGCTGGGCCTGGGGGTGCTCCTTGTGCTGGAGCTGCTGGCGGTGCTGGAGCTGGCGGTGCTGCCGGGGTAGGTGCTGCTGGAGCTGCTCGGGCTGGAGCTGCTGAGTCTTCCGGTGGTCCTGCTGGAGCTGGAGCTGCTGGGGGCGTTGGCGCTGGAGGTGCTGCTGGCGCTGGTACTTCTGGGGGTGCTGGAGTTGGCGCTGCTAGAGCTGGGGGTGCTACTGGCGCAGGTGCTGCCGCCGGGGGTGCTGGTACTGTACCTGCTGGTTCTGGAGGCACTGCGCGGCCGAGGCCGTACTTCGTTCCGCTCCTTGAGCAGGTTCTTGGTCTCCCGCCTTCTGCTGGTCCTGCTTCTTCCTTAGAGTGTCCACCGCCTGTCCAGTCCGGGTCACAGTTACAACCCGCCTCCCCTCTGCCTGCTCCTTCTCCCTACACTGGTCCTACTGGAGGTCTTGCTGAGCATCGTGAGCCTGCGTCTCGTCCTGCGTCGCCTGTTCCTGCTGCTCGCACAGGTCGTCGTGTTCCGCGTCAGCGTCCGCCTGCGGTCCCAGGCACGCACCAGATGGCACTGCGTCCTTCCACTGCTCCACTGCGTGTCCCTTTGCCGTCTCCTCCAGAGTCCTCTCTTCCTGCTCTTGCTTACCCAGAGTCTGACTCTCTTCGTGCTGCCAGCCCTACTGTCACGCGTCTTCTCGCTACTGTTGTCACTGACCCTTCCTTTGAGTCCACTGCTGCGTCTGCCCTAGTTGCTGAGCTTGTCGACTTCGCTGCTCGCTGTCGTCTAGACTACGCTGCTAGTCTTGTTGCTGAGTCTGAGTCTGTCTGTCCTCCGTCCGTCGGGGGTGAGTGTGCTCTTAGCACGGACGTCCTTGAGGACAGGCAGGAGGAGTTCCAGTGCTTTGCTGCTGCTTTGCCTCATCTCGTGTCCATGCTGATTGCCCCTGAGGGAGACCCGGATGCACCAGACATCCCGACTCCGCGCTCTTACGCAGAGGCGATAGAGGGTCCCTACTCCTCTCAGTGGCAGTCAGCCATGGACGCAGAGATGGCTTCCTGGAAGTCCACAGGCACCTATGTCGACGAGGTTCCCCCACCTGGGGCGAACATCGTCAGTGGCATGTGGATTTTCAGGGTGAAGCGACCGCCGGGTTCTCCGCCTGTCTACAAGGCGCGTTACGTGGCTCGAGGCTTCAGTCAGCGGCAGGGAGTTGACTACTTTCAGACCTTCTCTCCCACCCCGAAGATGACCAATCTTCGGGTGCTGCTGCACATAGCCGCTCAGCGCGACTACGAGCTTCACTCTCTTGACTTCAGCACTGCTTTCTTGCAGGGCAGCCTGCACGAGGAGATCTGGCTGCGCCGCCCACCTGGCTTCACTGGGTCGTTTCCTCCTGGTACCCAGTGGAGCCTCCGGCGGCCAGTCTACGGTCTCCGCCAGGCGCCCCGTGAGTGGCACGACACACTGAGGACTACACTTGCGGCTCTTGGGTTTGCTCCTTCTACTGCCGACCCATCGCTGTTTCTACGCACCGACACCTCTTTGCCGCCGTTCTACATCCTCGTGTACGTCGACGACTTGGTCTTTGCCACTGCTGACACTGCTGGACTCGCCCACGTGAAGTCCGAGCTGCAGAAGAGACACACGTGCACAGACCTGGGTGAACTGTGCAGCTACCTTGGCTTGCAGATCACCCGGGACAGAGCACAGCGCACCATTACCCTGACTCAGTCAAACATGGTGCAGCAGGTCCTTCAGCGCTTCGACTTCACGTACTCCTCGCCTCAGGCCACTCCTCTGTCTACTCGCCACTCGCTCTCAGCTCTGCCTTCGGATGAGTCCGTAGAGCCGAGTGGCCCGTACCCAGAGCTTGTTGGCTGCCTCATGTACCTGATGACCTGCACTCGACCTGACCTTGCATACCCTCTTAGCATCTTGGCACGCTATGTTGCTCCTGGGAGACACCGACCAGAACACATGGCTGCAGCGAAGAGGGTGTTGCGCTACTTGTGCAGTACGTCGGGCATGGGGCTTGTGCTTGGAGGGCGGCGTTCAGTGGTCCTCACATGTCACGCAGACGCTTCTTGGGCTGACGACCAGGCTGCGCAGCGGTCGTCACAGGGTTACACCTTCAGCCTTGGTTCCGGCTCTGTTTCGTGGCGGTCTACCCGCTCGTCTTCTGTTCTCGGCTCCAGCTGTGAGGCTGAGATCTACGCGGGGGCCATGGCTGCACAGGAGCTACGCTGGCTCACCTACCTGCTGACTGACCTAGGAGAGCCGCCTCGTTCTCCTCCAGTTCTGTACGTAGACAACAAGGCCATGCTGGCCTTGTGTCGGGAGCACAGACTGGAGCACAGAACGAAGCACATTGCTCTTCGCTACTTTCTTGCTCGTGAGCTGCAGCAGCGTGGTCAGCTGCGCCTTGCTTACGTGGCCTCTCAGGCCAACACTGCTGATATCTTTACGAAGGCACTTCCGCCTTGTGATCATCAGCGCTTTTGTACGATGCTAGGTCTTGTGCCTAGTTGGCCTCACTTGCTCACTTCTTGACCTTGCTTGTACTGTGATCTATCTATACCTGCACTTGCTTGTTTACCTTTATATATAATCTTGCATGTCAACTGGCCTTGTGGCCTTGAACTTGTGCTCGGAATGTGTGGTGACGTTGTGATCCACCCTGAGCTTGCCTTGCTTGACTGGTCTTGTGACCCTTTGTTCTCCCCCACTTTGCCTGGGGGTGTGTCAAACATTTATGCTATAGTCTTTCTAGGCTGTAGTGGGGTAGACAGTATGGGGTAGAGTTTCCTAGGGTTACATGTTTGTACCCAACTCATTTCCTAGTCAATCATTCCTCATTCTTCACAGCGGGCACAGCTAATGGACTGCGCGTGCGGGTGGCTATAGCTGCGCGTGCGCGCGGTTGCACATGCGGCTACGGCTGCGCGCGCTCGTGCATCTGCTGCGCGCTAGTGGCCCTACCGAGCTACTCGTGAGGCAGAAAACGGAGGGCGCGCGGGGCAAAACAGGTGACGCGCGCGGGGCTAAACAGGTGACGCGCGCGGGGCTAATCAGGTGACGCGCGCGGGGGAGAAGGCGCGCGATCTACTCTGGCGCTACTGGGCAGGGCACTTCGGGCTACGGGGCGCTACGAGGCGCGCGGGCGGTGGGCCTATGACTAGTGTCGAGAGAAAAAAAAATCGCCTAAGGGAAGGAAACCGCTCTGATACCATGTCACAATCTAAGAATTGACTAGAATAACAAAGTTACAAGCAATATGTATGAAACCCTAATCTAGAAGTAGGGCAAAATAGTAACACCTAGATTAAACCAAATACAACATATAAAATATATGTTGACAGCGGGCGCGGCGCGCGAAGCTGCCGCGGGCTGCGCGAGGACGGCAGCCGCGGTGCGCGGGGCTACAGCGCGACGTGCGGGCAGCTGACGCGACGCGCGGGGCTGCAGCGCGACGCGCGAGGCTGCAGCGCAACGCGCGGGGCTGCAGTGCGACGCGCGGGGCTGCAGCACGCAGCGCGGGCTGCGGACGCGGCGCGCGGAGCAGCAGCGAGCCGCGCGCGAGCTGTTGCAGGGCGGGGCCAGGTAGGGCCGCGTCAGTGGCAGGTCGTGGCCGCGAGGAGGGGCGGCGCTCTGGCCTGACGGGCCTGCAGGGGCGGCTCGTGGGCCTGACGGGCCTGCAGGGGCGGCTCGCAGGCCTGACGGGCCTGTAGGGAAGGCTCGCGGGCCTGACGGGCCTGCAGGGGCGACGTGCGGGCCGTACGAGTCTGCAGGGGCGGCGCGCGGGCCTTACGGGCCTGTAGGGGCGGCGCACTGGTCTAGGGCAGCAGTAGGCAGCGCGAGGGCTGCAGGACGGTGCGCGCAGCGCAGCACGTCACAAGGCAAGGCAAGCAACACGTGGGGTAGCGTGGTAACCGTAACGGTAGGTGGGCCCGGAAAAAAAAGACGGTCCTACGGACCTAGTGCTCTGAAACCATGTTAGAATCTAGTAGGAAAGAATCAACTATGAAAGGGTCGGGTACAAGTATGAAACCCTAAAAGGGGCTGTACCCCATATTGGCTACCCCACTAGTGCCTAAACATATATAGCATATATATACTTTGACAAACTCCACACTCATGTGCTTGTAGCTGTGTACGCGGTTACGTGCATGACTACAAGCGCATGGGTGGGGGGGGGGTTGGGGTGTGGAGTGTATCTGGTGGCATTGGAGTGAGACATGGAGTCACGGTGCATAAGTGGAAGTCCTACTCACCAAGGTCGCCAATAAGCAGGGGGAGCAGGCAGAAAGGATGCAGCCGGTCGGCGTCATCCGTCGTGATGCAGCGGTATCGTGCGATTGGTTGCTACCGATGAACGGCACCATTTGAGGGAAGGATGGAGAACATACATGGAGCACGCATCACTACATACCTGGTGTGCACTTTTCTGCTTACTTTGTATGCACATCTCAGCATACTTGGTGTGCACTGCATACTTGGAGTGGACATTTATGCATACATGGAGTGCAGAGTTTGGGATACTTGGAGTGCGTCGGCATGCGCAACCCTCCAGCTGATGAAGTTCGGCAACTCCGGCTACTACCGTGTGTCGGCTGGTGTGTATGGGGAGCATCACAGGACAACATTGGTGAAGTTTGAGCAAACTTGGCATGATTGCCAAAGCATGGGGAGAAAGGCCTACGAAGATGCAGCAGGCGCGGACAGAAAAATGATGCAGTAGGCGCGCAGCAGATCATCAGCCGCTGACGAACGCCAAGTCGTCGCTTCTATCGCGCGAAGTGTGCGCACGCCAATGTAGTTCCGCGCCAGCCGTACACCATGCGTTATCCGCTACCGATTCGTGTCAGAATGATATAATTGTCTAGCCTGCAGTGGGGTACTCTATAGCGAGTACAACCCAATTAGGGTTTCCCATATGTATCTTAAGTGCTGCTAGTGCAAACCATCCTTTTATCATTTCTGTTCTTGCCTGCTAATTCTGACATGCTATCAGAGCAGGTCGACCCTCTTGGGTCGATCCTGTGGGTGGGCCCCACCCGATGCTTCCGCTGCTCTACTGCTGTCGCGCGCCCCGGGCGCGCGACCCTTTCTTCCTGCCGCGCACTCGGAGCGCGCGGCGTTTTTCATCCCACCGTGCGCTCGGGGCGTGCGGCGGTTTTCTGCCCACCGTGCGCCCCGAGGCGCGCGGCGGTTTCCTGCTTCGCGCGGCAGTTTTCTGCCCGTCGTGGCGCCCCCGGGGACCTGCGCGCTGCCCCCCCGTCGCCTGTCGCGGCGCCCTGGGGGCCCGCGCGTCGACCTCCTCCCGTCGCCTCGTCGCGGCGCCCTGGGGGCCCGCGCGCCGGCCCCTCCCGTTGCCTCGTCGCGGCGCCTTGGGGGCCCGCGCGTCGCCCCCCTCCCGTCGCCTCGTCGCGGCGCCTTTGGGGCCCGCGCGCCGCCCCCTCCCGTCGCCTCGTCGCGGCGCCTTGGGGGCCCGCGTGCGGCCCCTCCCGTCGCCCGTCGAGCCGCCCCCGGGGGCCCGTGCGCGGCCCCCCTCCCGTCACCCGCCGTGGCGCCCTCGGGGGGCCCGCGCCCTGCTCCTTCGTGGCGCCCAGGAGACCCCCCCGCCGCCTCCCTTTCCCTCCGTGAACCGCCCCTGCTGCTTCCCGCGCTCCTGCCTGCGTTAGGGTTTGGGGGTGGCGGGCATGGGGGTGACCGGTGTGGGTAACCTGCAGCTCCTCCTCCTCCTCCGTCTCCCACTACTGCAGCTGCCGCTGAGGGGGGTGGGTGTGTGGGAGCCGAGGGTTTAGGGTTTAAGGGGGGTGCCGTGGGAGTGGAGCTAGGGTGCAGCAGGGGGTGTGTGAAAGGGGTGTGGGACAATCGGGGGAGGTTGCGTGGAGGCTGCCGTCGTGTCGCCTGCAGCGCTAGTAGTCCGGAGCCGTCGTGCTCTCGATAGCCCAGAGAGCCTACTGTGCCTGTCGCCCGTGGGTCCGTTGCTCTTGCCGCTCCTCGTAGCCGCCGAGCCACTTACTCCAGTAGTCCGGGGCGCTGTCCCGGTAGCCACTGTGCGCGCGCTCCTGTTGCCCGTGTGTCTGCAGCTTCAGCCGTTGTCTCCAATCTTCTCTCCCCTCACAGTCCCTCCTCCTCCTCACTTGCCCTCTGTGATTACCTCTAGCTTTGCTTGTAATTGGTGAACTTACTTTATGCCTGCTTGTTGTGCTGATCATACCCCACTTTGACTATGGGGGTGTGTCAGAATGTTATAATTGTCTAGCCTGCAGTGGGGTACTCTATAGCGAGTACAACCCAATTAGGGTTTCCTATATGTATCTCAACTGCTGCTAGTGCAAACCATCCTTTTCTCATTTCTGTTCCTGCCTGCTAATTCTGACAATTCGCGTCATCCGCAGCTGTAGTCGTCGCAGACGCACATCCACTGCGGTTTTGCGTCGTCGCA